AATTGAAGAACTAATTACTCATATTTTTCTATGATGGCATAACTTTCTGAATTGATTATGAGTTTAATCATTTATTACCTTATTCCCTCAAAAGCTTTACTCTTTTTTCATGTGTTGTTGTAACATTGGAGCTCAAACTGGCATATTGAAATTCCCTATGCTGTATCTACATCTTGTACCTCTATATTTGGTTTAGTGTGTGCTTCTGTCTTTTGCTTTTTATTCCTTTGTCTTTTGCTTCTGTCTTTTGCTCATGTGATGCATATTAGTTTATGCGACTGATTTAGATTACTGCCATTATTTGTTCCAGGTGAACATTGAATTAGGATTGGAATTTGGAACGTGGGTTGCGGGTTGTGTGTGCATCTGTTTTCTGTTTTGCGGTTAAGTTCTGCATCTTTGAGTTCTTTTGGGTTCATTTTAAAGGACGGGGAATGCAGAAAGATGTGCTTTCCCGTTAAGAAGTCTTTCTGCGAGTTTGATGAGGTTAGAGCTCTATTTGAGCCTTCCTCTGGTAAGCTTGATGCGACTGTAAAAGTAATATTCGGCCGCCTTGGATTCACTTACCAAATCCCGACTGTTGCTAAATATTTTGGAGGACAAGTTGTATCTTACCACGACCTCTGTGAAGACGGTTAAGCTGCAGTGTGCCTAAGATCAAACTCCTTCCCTGAGAGTCTGTACTGTCTTGGCCGGGGGAGTAGTGAATCAGTTTGTACGAGCTTTTGGAAGTTGAGATGAAGAGTAAAGGGAGTGTACTGATGCAACGGTATGAAGTAGGGAAATTGTTAGGACAAGGCACCTTTGCCAAGGTCCACCATGCGAGGAATCTGGAAACTGGGGTGAGTGTGGCCATTAAGATTGTTGACAAGGAGAAAATATTCAAGGTTGGGATGATGGAACAAATCAAGCGAGAGATCTCGGTGATGAGAATGGTGAGACATCCCAACATAGTGCAACTTTACGAGGTGATGGCCAGCAAAACGAAGATTTACATCGTCATGGAGTACGCTAAAGGCGGTGAACTCTTTAACAAGGTATCTAAAGGAAAGATGAAGGGAGATGTTGCGAGGAAATATTTTCAGCAGCTGATCAGTGCGGTTGACTTCTGCCACAGCAGAGGTGTTTATCACCGGGATCTGAAACCCGAGAACCTCCTGCTGGATGACGATGGGAATCTAAAGATTACGGACTTTGGATTGAGTGCTCTTGCAGAATCTAAGCGCCAAGATGGCTTGCTTCATACCACCTGTGGGACACCAGCCTATGTCTCTCCTGAAGTGATAAACCGAAGAGGTTATGATGGTGCTAAAGCTGATATTTGGTCTTGTGGGGTGATCTTATATGTTCTCTTGTCTGGATATCTCCCGTTCCATGATTCAAATTTGATGGAGATGTACAGAAAGATATGTCAGGCGGAGTTCACGTATCCTAAGTGGTTCTCATCTGATGCTTGTAAGCTGATCTCAAAAATATTAGATCCAAACCCGAACACAAGAATTCCCATTTCCAAAATCATGGGTACCCATTGGTTCAGAAAGGGCTTTAGTTTGAAAGCTGTGAAACCTCACGAGGATACTGGGCTTCAAGACTTGGAAGCAAAAGCGGCAGCAGCCAGCGATGATGCTATTTTTGATCACTGTGAGAATGCCAACGCAACAGCAGAGGCAAAGCAAGAATCCTCGAAACTGACAAACTTGAACGCCTTTGATATTATCTCTTTCTCGTCAGGTTTTGACTTGTCCGGCTTGTTTGAGGGCAGTGATCAGAAGAGCGAGTCAAGGTTTACATCCATGCAGCCAGCACAAACCATCATCACAAAGATGGAGGACATAGCCAGGAAGCTAAAACTGAAGCTAACAAAGAAAGATGGAGGGTGTTTGAAATTGGAAGGATCGAAACTAGGAAGGAAAGGGGTTCTGTCCATTGATGCTGAGATATTCGAAGTCACCCCCGCTTTTCATCTGGTCGAGATGAAGAAGTCCAATGGAGATACGCTCGAATATAGGAAGATGATGAAGCAGGAAATAAGGCCGGCATTGAAAGACATCGCCTGGATTTGGCAAGGCGAAGAGCTTCAACAACCTGAGCAGAAAGATGGGCAACCTGCAGATATGCACTCCTGTCAAATTCCCCCCTTAGCTGTTAACTAGCTTTATCTTAGAACCACTAAGCCTTTCAATGGCTGTTTTTAACTTTTCATCTTTATTGCTTTCAAATTCATTTGTTACTGAACTATGCTTTATATATTCCAGTTATATGCCTATACTATGTTTCTTCATCTCTTCCCTATCTCCACCATGAATCCTCATAGTTGTGAATGGAACATGGTAGAGTTACTATCAGGTCTCCAAATGCTTCTCTTATATATGACAGAGAACGTTGTATAATCGATGACTAAATGTAGTATTTTGGCCTTCTATAGTCCAGCTAAATTTGTTCATTTTACATTATCAACTCATGAAATTTTACATTATATAATATCTTCACATATTTTACAGTGATGTTGAAAGTATAATTTTTTTTTGGAGGGGGGATGACGAGTCCATTACTCGAAGGTGCACACACATTCAAAGTTGATCGATTCAGATAAAGAAGGTCAATAGACTGCCTTCACTAAAAGTCGAACTTGAAACCTTAACTTAGCATTGGACTTAGGTAGGTTATCCAGCCCATAACTTACCAACTCAAACCAAAAAGATCTATAAACCGCCCTCATTAAGAGTAAAACTTGAACCTAATTTAGGTGGGGGGTTGGGACTCGCAATATAATTTATACCCAATAATGAATCCACCAAATGGTTGCCTGGAGAATTGGTGAAAGAGCAAAAAAATAAAAATTGAAATGCAGAGCAGCATCTTAGTGCTAGCCTGTCTCTTTAATTATGAAGTGGTTGTAACAAACCACCACCGCCACCCAACTTTTTCCCCTTCCAACCCCTAACAAATGTTGTTACTCAATGCAATATTTATGCCCACAATAGTCAATCGTTATACCGTGCACCACGGAGCATTGTACGCCCCGTGTCCCTAAAATGACGTCGTTTTGTTAAGTTTTGTGGGGAATTAACGCGACAAAGTGTATGTGTATTCTGTTATATAATTATGTACATTATGTGATACCATTATGTACATTATATTATATAATTATGTACATTTTTAATACAATTATGTACATCCGAAACAAGGAATTTATGTGTGTTATTTAAGAGTTTATGTGAATTATGTATTATGTTAGATTATGTGTATTATCTTTTCAAAAAAGAGTATGTGTATTTTGTTATACAATTATGTACATTCTATTATACAATTATGTATATTTTCAAAACATGAGATTCTTTTAAGAAGTTAACACACACAGAAAGCGGAATTTCAAAAAAAAAAAAAAAAAAAAGTACAAGGGCACATAATGCAATGTGCGCCTTAGTGCACGATATAAATTGCCCACAATAGTTGGTACGCCCTATTTCAATTGAGGTAACACAGTAAAAGTAATATTTATAATTTTACCATAAATTTAAAAAAGCCATCTATATGTATTAACCCGAATTTTTTTCACATAAGTTTTATCTTAAACAACAAATTAAAAATGTTTTATTTTAATTTTGATTTTAATTTCTTTATTCCCCCTATAAAACAAATTAAGACAAAATCAAAGAAATTAGGCAAGGATAATTAGGCAATAAGCACACTACATGTTTTGTGATAACCAAACCTTTAATTTGTTGCTATCTTCTTACCGGTCGTTTTGATGTGGTTTAATTACGTTTGATTGCTTCTAGAATTTGCTAATTAAGAGGTTGAGACTTTAAACAATTTCAAAATCTACCAAATCTGCTTTCTTCTTCATCTAGCTAATCTTTATATACAATCTTCCCAATGATTTTACCAAAACATTTCTCTAAGTAAGAACGTTTAATAATACCTTAAAAGAAGGGTAAATTAAAATGAAATTAAAATAATCTTACACTATTCCATTGGAGTATATAAGAGATTTTCAGAAATATGATTATTGGTTAAACAAAGTACTCTTATAATATATTAAAAAATTAGATCATATTAATTTCGATCTTAATTAATTATAATTATAACAAAAGAATTTAAAACAAAAAATATGAAAAAAATCCCAACTGCTTTTTAAAAGTATGTTCCGATAAAGTTCGTTTTGTAACTTTAATTAGTAAAAGATTAAAAATAAATAGGGAGTAAAAAAATTAGCCTGGATTGTGTCAAGCACATTGTGCTCAGATAACACCTCTGTGGTTCCTCTTGACGGAACGTCACAAGATCGAACTTTGGTGGTGGAGTATTGACTTTTTAGACTACATTAGTTAGAGAAAGTATATAACATATACTACCTTGTAATAGAGTTAATAGTATTCAAAAAATTAACCTAGATTGGATATATTTTATTTATATTGATAGCTAGGAATCACTGCTGGAAATTTCGCATTTTCCGTCTTTGTTGGACGGAAAACGCGATATATTGGTCGGAAACAACGTTTCCGTCCAACATACCGACCAAAAGGAACGTTCGGAAAAACCTCCGTGGGAAATTCCGTCCAACTACAATTTTTGGTCGGAAATAGCGTCCAACGAACAAAAATTGGACGGAAATTCCGGAAAGTAACCCACCATTTTTAAAACGTGAGAACTTCCGATCAACTTGGTGCGTTGGTCGGAAATTCCGTCCAACTACGTGCGATGGTCGGAAATTCCGACCCAACGTTGGACGGAAAACTCACCTATTATATATTGTTATTTTCCTTCCAACTGTTGGTAGGAAAATCCTAAATCATATGAAATATTTTTATTATTTTTATATTACCATAATTTTATTTATAACTGTTGTTAATAAATTATGTCATCAACAAATTAATGAACACACTAAATTAAAAATTGAAAATTGAAAATATATTTAAACATCAAAATTATTTACAAACAAAAATTATGTTCATGTTCATAAAAAAAACATAAAAAATATATACTACTTGATTGATACTCCGTACTACTTAAGTATGAAAACATACTTATTTGATACTACATAAGTATGCTCGTTGCACCCAAATAAGCCTTCAAATCCGGCACTGCTTCAATGGCTTTGATCAATGCAGCATCCACAACCTCCTTCAATGAAGTTGATCAAGTGTAAACCTTCACCAAAAATGGACCGTGATATAAGTAATCTAACACTGAATGAGTAGATACCTATGCATTTTACAAAATGACTAGAAAATTAAAGGAATGTCTTTTATGTTTAAGTAATCTAACACAGAAAAAATAGAAAACTTCTTAATTCTTACATCCTAATTCTAAAGTTTGTTTAGTATAAGAGATGTACTCCACAATTCTTACATCCTAATTCAAGATTAGTGATCCTAATGAGAGTGGGGTAACAGATGATAGCAACAAGAACTCATAAGTTTTGCAGATGATACCATAGTTTTACCTTTGCAAGGTAAGAAGGGTCATATGACATGCGTTTATCCATATCAGTCAGTTTCTTTGACAACATCATTATTCTGAAATAAAAGAGAACACTATCAGTTGCTTCTATGCAGTCCTAAATTATTCAGATCATCATCAAAATATTCAAAAGCTTTACAACAGAAAACTGAAAACTAAAAATCAAGACTAAAAGAACAATAAAAGCTTTAGTTGGACATACCTTCCATGCATAAAATGGAATATGACCCTCAAGATAATTTGCATGGGTTGTACTGGAAATGTTTATCTAAGTTTGAATATCACCAAAGAAAAAAAGAAACAAATAAATGGCTATGAGTGATTAATCAGGTTTAGTAAAACAAATAATCAAATTCACATACCTAAATCGCAACTGGACCATAGACATCTTTATTGAACTCATTACGATATTCCTCCACCTAACAATAAGCCTCAAAAATCTTTTCAGCTCCAGAGTTCCGCAATTCATGTAAGCATTTGCTGTTCATGTTCTCCCGTTCCCTTAATCTACAAAGGGATTCATTCAGAACATTTAAGAAGCATTCAACCATTACAAAAGGTATCAAAAAGTAAAGAATTTATATATTGAATAAAAGGTACAGTTGCCGGAAACAATAAGCTTACAAGTTCATTTTTGGGATGTTCAGAAGTAGGCAAATTTGCAAACTCTAATTCGGCATCTCTGAGATCGTTTAGAGCTTTAGAAAGCTTTTCTTGACGAGATTCTTTCTACCTCCTTTGACCTTCCATTTCCTTATACTTTTCATGTATTTGCACAACCTGTGTTTTATATTATAAAAAATGTTGGCATGATTAGATAAAAAGATACTAGCAAGAATAAACAGAATGATGACTACATTAAGTACTACCAAATGGTTATCACGCTAGACTAAGTAAATACAACTAAGCAAAGGGATGCAAGATGTAGCCTATTTATAATAATAATTTTTCAAATATCCAACTACTACTCAACAACTATTAAGCACACTAAACACCTAAAACATACAAAGTTTCCTGTCAACAACCATGAGTATGTTCATTTGAGACCAAGGAAATGCTGTTGTTAACAGCATAGTAAAATCATATAATTCCAACTCTTACACACATAATAAGAGCAACCAAAATTGATAATGTTCCAATGATGCAAACAAACTGAGGGTATACATGTTACTGTAAATACTGAGGGTGTTTCTGAGCAAACAAACTGCAAAATTTACCCTATCCATCACTGTAAAAGCTAGGGCAGATATGAGACAATTCTTAAAAACTAACAAATCTTTGTAGGATGAAGATTAAAGAGCACATGCAATTCATATTTTCACAACACACAGTTGTATTAATAAAATTTGAGTAAGGCATAGGCATTTATCCAGTCAAAAGATTTGGGAAAGTCACCAATGGCTTCAACTAGATGAATTATCTGAGGACGAAATACAAAATGATAAATTGAAAGGTCACCATTTATCAGAACTGATGAAGCCACAAATTTACAAACTATACATTTGTATTTGTTTATAGAAAATAAGAGATATATGTAAAGGAAATTATATCAAGGAAGCAGAGCAAGGAACCTGCTATCGAAACCCCAATAGCTAACCGCGCCAAGAATCGAAAATCAAATATTACCTGCTCACATTTTGAGGAATAAAGCAAAGGTTCCAAATTGTATCGTCGGGGCCGTCAGACAATAGATTGGAGGAGGGAGGTGGGCACGTGGTCCATAAGCACCACTGCGCCATCATCAACCTTCAGGCAAGCGGGTGAAGGGTGGTTGTGGCGTAATCGCAGGGGAGGCGGTGGCAACGCAGCGTCAACGGTGGCGTCGGATCGGCAGATACCACAAAGCAATCAGCGGCGGTTGTGGTGTCGGCGGCTGTGGCGGTGGAGCTAGATCTGAGAGAGTGAGAGGAGGTTGCGGCGTCTTCTGAGGGGTGGAGGGCTGGAGGCTGTGGCTGTAAAGTTTTATGCAGAATAGGGCGCCCAAAAATAAAATTTTGGTGGGAGTTAGAATTGAGTGAAATAATTGGTAGATATTAATAGTGAGGGTAAAAATGGTGGGAATTAGAATTGAGTGAAATAATTGGTAGATATTAATAGTGAGGGAAAAAATATTTTTTGTATCAATAGTGAGAGTATATTTTTAAAATAAATATAAAATTAAAATTTCGTCACTAAAAGATAAACCTTTAACTAGAGTAATTTTTAACCATCACTAAAACTATGCAAATAATACATTTAGTGAGAGGTTTTTCTACCCGTCATTAATTTTTTATCAGTAAAAGTTGTTTTTCTTGTAGTGGGTGGACACGGTGTTCGGCGTTGGCGCGGCGATCCACGGTGGTGTGTTCTCCTATGTCCTGTTTTGTACTAGTGGCAAGTATGTACCGGAAGCTCTTCGTCGCAGATCTGAAGTTAGAAGGAAGAAGAAGGTCATTGCAGATCTAAAGCTAGAAGAAGGAATTGAAGAAGGTCATCGTAGATTTGAAGCTAGAAGAAGGAATTGAAGAAGGTCATCGCAGATCTGAAGCTCAAAGCTTGAAGTCGTCACCGCAGCTACAGTCCGTCGCCGCCATTATAGAAAGATGATGGTGAAGTAGTGTACGAAGAAGCAAAGATGAAGGTGAAGCGGTGAACGAAGAAGCTAAGAGTGGAAGTGAAGAAGTAAATTAATTAGATATTTTTTTGGACGAAAATTAAAATATCTACTAGCTAAAATATATAAATTTCCGTCCAATATTACGTTGGACGGATATTAAAATACCTACTATTTTAATTTATACCTATCAGTCAATTCGACTTTACCAACCAACACTATAGGTTGGTCGGAATTTCCGTCCAACGCGCGAGTGTTGGACGGAATTTCCGTTCAACACTTGCGCATTGGACGGAAATTCCGACCAACTTTCCGTCCACCCATCTTTAGTAACAGAAAGTTGAAATCTTTAGTAAAATACCGACCAATTTGCGGTTGGACGGAAATGTTGGACGGAAAACGCGAGATTTCCAGCAGTGAATTAGGATAGGTGAGAGGAGCATATATATAATATAACCTTATCCAATTGAAGAAGATTAGTTTTGCAACGTTGACGTCCAACTTGACAATTCTCTATCAAGTAGAGGATATGGAACAACATAAATGATGCCTTGTCTAGTTGTCTTATCATTTCCGAGACAAATGCTAACTCTACTATTCAAATTAAATACTGCTCAAGTCATTTATTTTAATTTGTCAAGAAAAATAAATAAATAATTGTGATTTTTTTAATCAATCAAAATATGTTATGTTAATATGAAAAATTGAATTTTTTTATTTAAAAAAAAGAGTAACTTAATATTATTTTAAAACAAGTCGAAGTAATCTCATCAATATAAGATAAAGATGATTAATATATATATATATATATATATATATATATATATATGTGTGTGTGTGTGTGTGTGTGTGTGTGGAGTTGACCAGAATTTACTATTTGTATTTTTAGACTAATTGAGCTAACATATAACCACATCAATATATTACAAAGTATATTTAGCTTCAACTTACCTATTTATATCCACTCTGATCTATCGTATAAATATATATTTTTAATGTGACAATGAATATTTCGAAAAATTTTGGGTAGGAGGGATTCTCAAATCCACAAACATAGTATAAAAACTTGAAATTAATATGAATGCATGATGCTTCACTAGCTGTCTACCACACTTTCCTAACATATATATACAACAATACTCCAAAATCAATCGTCGGCCTTACTTCAACCCTAATCAAAAAGTTGAGAACCCTCATATCTTTATTCCGACAAATTATCAATCACACAAATTGCATATAAAAAAATTTAAATATATAATAATATAATAAAAAGAGAAGGCTCTTCCATTGAATTTCACCACCCAAAAACAAAAAAAGTTTGGTGCGGTTTGAGCTCGTGAACTATGCATATATCATAAGAGAAACAATATCATCATGAAACGTCATATAGTTCGATTCTTGTTAATACTTTTTCGATCGAGTTCATTGTATAAGGTCTTCTTAATGCGATTTACTTCTCTTAGGTTGTGTGGTTTGATGACTATTACAATAGAATTTACCTATGTATATATATCTTAAAATAGTGACTATAGGTTTCCTCGTCACCTTGCACACTATCATGCATTATTATTAAATTTAATTTAGAAACCTTTACATACATGCATTATATATTTCTATTGCTTCTACCTACTAAGTGGCCCCCTTCCCATTAACAATATAATTCTACTAATTCAGAGAGAGAAAAAAAAAACACAAAAAAGCAAAATATAAATAAAGAAAAGTTGCAATATATTTATTAAATAACGGGAAAGTATAATATCGATTAACACTTCCACCAAATAATAATAATAATAATAATAATAATAATAATAATAATATCAATTAATACAAAATACAATCAATTATTATACGTTTTTAGAGTTGTATTAGACATATTTAATTAACTGTTATTTCCGTAATGTTCAGCATAACTCTAAAAAAGTGTTAAAATTATGGATTAAATTATGTGTAAAGAAAAAGATAACACGCAAAACATGCAACAAGCTAAGGGACCATGCAGGTTGTTGTTGTACAAATTAAAGGAAAAAAAAAAAAAAAAAAGCAAGTGTATATATAATAATAAAATAAAATAAAATGAAATTATCCAGAAATGAATAATTGAAATTGATTGGCGTGAGCGATGACCTACCAAACGTTATAAAGGAATTGACCCAGAGTGCACTACCCCACGGCCATTCATGCACAACAGCTAAGCTCTATATATGGTGTCATGTGTACCCATTGTGCCCTCTCTCTCTCTCTGTCTTCTTCTTCATATGCTCAAACTATTCTCTCCATTACTTTCCATTTATCATGTGATCTTGTCTCTCACCTTTTTCATTTTTTTTTTATAACAAATATCATTTTATTTGTAAAAATATGATAGCCCACGTTTTCTGATTTTACCGAAGTATATCTAGATCTTATAAATTGTCCCAATCCTATAAGGAAGTAAATTGAGCCAATTAAGTTTCAAGATTTAACACTAATTAAATTGTACAACATATAAAAAGCTCAATTCAAATTAAACCTAAATCTCCAATAATGTTCATAATTTTGTTTATAACAAATTAAATATTATTTTATTTACACAAATATAATATTTCCTAGCTACGAACAATACCTGTTTTACATTGCAGAATTTTCCAAGTGGATATATATGTATATTAGATAGAGCAAGTTGAGTATGTTGGATATTTGGATAATAATAACATTTACCCACTTAAAGGCAGTCGTCAAGCTAAGCTTAATTAAGGATTGATTGATTTAGAGATAATAGTATTTTAGAGTAATGATGACAACATTATAATCAGTATGACATTAACGATGGTGACCTTTTATATATCACATTAATGAAAAGGAAATTCGAACATGGTGAATGAAACAGTATATGTCAAGAAACACTTTCGTAGTAAATTTGACTAAAACTACTTGAATACGAAAGACAATATAACATATTTTATAAACAAGTTATTTATATCTAAGTTATCCCATTTTAAAATAATACATTTAATACAAAACAGATATTATAAGATTGGAATCTAAACTTATTAGGTTAACAAGAGTATATATACCTTTCAAAAAAAACTCAATAGCACGAACTAATTGATAAGCATACAATTGTATGGTCCTGGATTGGAGTCTCGGAAGTCCGAACCTCATTGTTAAAAGAATTGGGACAACTTAATTTCCATTATTTTATGGTGAGTAATAACATTAATGAGTGTCATGTATGATGATTAAGAATTAATTAAACGTCATTATCTATATATTATTTGAACAACCTAATTATATATTAAAATTAAAGAAATGGGATATTAATTGATCCGGCCGGGCCATGTTCAATGTTGCCGACTTAGGTTGCGGCCGGCGGCTGTTAGAAGTTAGCTTGAACGTAGAATTAATCGTCGTCCATATGGTTTTGTTTAATATGGCGTGTGATGTATGTACGCAAGTAGACAACAAGCTAAGTAATAATATTACTGCAAATTCTTTTGAATTTCTCAACCTCTACCTTTAATATGTAGCTAGTAAACACAAAGAAAAAGTCCATCCATGCATGCTCTATATATATGTTGGATTTATCAAATAATTGAATGATTCATATAGATTGAGTGAATTGAAGGAATTGTTCCAAGTAGCGCAGTTAGTTGGTACTTAATTATTAGATAGTAGATTGTGAGTTAAGGCGCAAAATCGAGATTTGGCAGTTGGCATGTCAAGAGTACACCCAATGTAGTAAGTTATTAGCTTTTTTTGTGGGCACTGGGCATTGGTCCTCTCAATTAAAAGGTCATTGAGTTATCGTGATTTACCCATCTACTATCAGTGTCGACTCATGGTACGTGTAGGCCAGGGGCCCTTAAAGCGAGAGATTTTGCCTTTTGTGGGTAAGAGAGCAAAATGAATCAATAAAACATTGAAATGAATCTTAACAAAATGAACATACAGTATATTAAAAATGAATATTCAATATATATATATATATATATATATATATATATATATATATATATTAATGGTCCATATTATGGTTATAGTCCACAGTATAATGATTTGTCTCTTGTCAAGTTGGCTAAGAATATAATTGAGGCTGGCATGGAGAATTCATCATTAAATTTGATATCAAGCTATAAACACCCATCTAGCTAGGGGACAAGGCAAGGGTACGGTGAATATAGTAATCCTGGCAATCTGGCATTCACCTACTGCCATCAAATTACCATATCTAGTATTGTAATTTTTTTTTTATTAAACTAAAAATTGAACATCCTAGCTGCTCAATCAACTATATTACTCCATCAAACGTAAGATGTCCTCAAAGATGGTGGTTTAGTATAATAAGTAAATTAAAATATAATTCAATGACTCATCAATTGATTATTGATATAACAAATTACATAACAATGAATCAATTAATATATATATATATATATATATATATATATATATATATATATATATATATATATATATATATATATATATATATATATATATATATATATATATATATATATATATATATATATATATATTCCCCCCCCCCCACCCCCCACACTTGTAATCAATTTCCAATTTATCTGCCAATAATTGTTTCATGCTCACATTACTTTCACTAGTCAAATCTATTGGCTAAAAATTTCATCTTCTATCTACTATATTCTGCCCGTTGTAATACCTGCTCCATTTCTTTATATATATATATATATATATATATATATATATATATATATATATATATATATATATATATATATATATATATATATATATATATATATATATATATATATGGATTATCTCAAAAATAAAAATTGTGCTAGATAGGATTCGAAAGGGTAGTAAATCACCTTTTACTGAGTTTTAAGGTAGTTATAAAACTCAAACCTGAAATCTCTTATTAATCTGAGAGAGACCAATTAAGGACATCTCATTCACTCCATGAATATTTCAAAAATCAAAAGTTGAATAAAACAATAAAGTAATTATAAGCCGAAACTAAATCATAATTATAATTGATGAGGAAAAGAAAATAATCCAAATATTAATAATGATGGAGTATAGTAATAAAATTGAATAATTTCACAACTTACCTTAACAAAAACTCCAAATATTAATCATATCATGTTCGAAAAAGTTTGAGACAGATTGTTAGCCCTTGATTTGTTTTGATTTTTATTTTTATTTGTTTTGTTTTGAACTCCTGATCTTTTTTAAAAGATAAGAATGCAAAAGCACTTATATAGCTAATAAGTTTTTAAAGATAAGGTATGTAATTTTTATTAAATAAAATAAAAGTACTTAATTAAATTGAGTAAAAGCTACAAGTTGATCGAACAAACACTTTGGTCCCAATTTACAACTCATAGCTATTTCTTTCGTTTTCGCTTCCAAGAAAAGTCTACGCGTTGCATTTTATGTTCTTTCGGTTTGATCGCCCAATTCATTAGTTATAAGAACCCAATTCTTCATACGTTGCCGAATTTGATCGTCGTTGAATTCTGATTAAGTCAATTGTTTCCCAGCTGCTGATTCATGGCTGTCTCACCTGAATCTTTTCCGCCGAGGAAACGGCGGCCGTCGGCAGGGGCGGGGTCATTCGTCGCCCCCAATCTCTCCGATCACCGCCTACTTGAGTCGCTCCTCACAATTACGCTGGAGATTTCGTCTATGCAGCCCGTTCGATTTCTCCTCAAGAAGAACACTTGTTCCATGATTAGGAGGGCGAAGCTGATGAGCCTTTTGTTCGAGGAGCTTCTCCGGAGTCCGGCGGTTGCGGGGTTCCCGCCGACTGCCGTGTTGTGTTTTGATGAGCTGTCCATAGCTTTGCAGAGGATACGGAGTTTGTTGGAGGATTGCCGGAATTCCAGCAAGATGTGGCTGCTGATGCAGAGCGAGCCGATCTCCAATTCGTTTCACGAGCTCGCCGTGGAATTATCGACGCTGCTGGATATTCTTCCGGCGGAAGACTTGAAGCTGAGCGAAGACGTGGAGGAACTGCTTTGCCTTATCAGGAAACAGAGCTCCGAGAAGGAAGCTTATGTGGATTCCGGCGATGAAACCCTACGGGCTGAGGTTCTTCATATGCTTGATAGAATTAAACGGGAAATCGTTCCGGATCACACGAAGCTCGCCCAGATTTTCGATAGATTGACCTTGCGGGACTCCACGAGTTGCAGAGATGAAATCCAGAGCTTGGAAGAGGAAATCCTCAGCCAAACGGATGAGAAATCGAAATCCGATATCGTCGCTTTGATCAGCCTGGTTCGCTACGCGAAATGCGTGTTGTACGGCGCTTCCACTCCCAGAGGCGGCGGGAGGCGGCGGAAGACGGCGGCGGACGTCAACATCCCGGCGGATTTCCGTTGTCCGATATCTCTCGATTTGATGAGAGACCCTGTGGTCGCGTCCACGGGACAGACGTACGACCGCTCCTCGATTGCTCTGTGGATCGAATCAGGTCACAACACGTGTCCCAAAACGGGTCAAACGTTGACCAGCTCGGAGCTGATTCCCAACATAGCGTTGAAGAATTTGATAGCTATGTGGTGCCGGGAGCAGAGAATCCCGTTCGAGTCGCCGGAGTCGAACGTTAAATCTCACGGCGCCGTTACCAACAAGGCGGCATTGGAGGCCACGAAGATGACGGTGTCGTTTCTGGTCAACAAGTTGAAGGCTTCGCGGTCAGTGGATGCGGCTAATCGACTGGTTCACGAGCTTCGGGTCTTGGCAAAGACCGATTCCGATAGCCGAGCCTGCATCGCCGAGGCCGGAGCTTTACCGGTACTCGTTAAGCTTTTAGGCTCGGACTACCCGAGCCTACAGGTTAACGCCGTCACAACAATCCTCAACCTCTCCATTCTCGAGGCGAACAAGACGAGGATAATGGAGATGGACGGAGTCTTAAACGGCGTTATCGAGGTGCTAAGGTCCGGCGCCACATGGGAGGCGAAAGGGAACGCGGCAGCCACGGTGTTCAGCTTGACAGGTGTAACCGCGTACCGGAAGAGCCTGGGCAGGAAGACACGTGTCATAAAGGGACTGGTGAACCTGGCTCGCGAAGGGCCCACAAACTCCAAGCGGGACGCCATGGTGGCAATTTTGAATTTGGCGGGAGACAGGGAAACCGTCGGAAAGCTGATCGAAGGAGGAGTGGTGGAGATGACCGGCGACGTGATGGACACACTGCCGGAAGAGGCGGTGACCGTCCTGGAAGTGGTGGTTAAAAGAGGCGGAGTGGCGGCAATCGCGGCGGCTTATCCGATCATCAAAAAACTGACAAAGATACTAAGAGACGGAACTGACAGAGCACGGGAAAGCGCGGCCGCAACGCTGGTTAATATGTGCCGGAAAGGCGGGTCGGAGATGGTGGCGGAGCTGGCGGCGGCTCACGGAATCGAGCGGGTAATTTGGGAGATAATGGGAATGGGAACCGGGAGAGCGAGAAGGAAGGCGGCGACATTGTTAAGGATACTAAGGAGATGGGCGGCGGGCCTAAACGAAGATGTTCCATCCACCGCCTATTCAACTGTGAATAATAATAATAATAATAATACTTCCACAACTATAGTATTGCCAGGGTAACCTCTGTGTTATTATTCAACTATCATTGTTACATTCATTTTTTTTTTTTTTTCAAATTCTGTTTATGATTTCAAAATCTTTCTTTTCTTCATTTATTTCATAAAACTTGAACCTCAAACTGTAATATGAATTCTCCAAATCTCGTGAAATGTACAATTATTCTTCTATACTATACTATACAGTGTTGCTGCAAAAATGAAGAAAAGGAAGAAAGTTTCCTTTTTTTTTTTTATTCCAATTTTGATTTTGATTTTGATTTCATGTTCGAATTGAACCAAACCCCGTCTCTAGGTCTGAGTTTAGATTCATATATATTTCATTTAAGATTAAGATATTTGATGTATAGTTGTAAAAATATAAAAAGAAAAAGACAAGATTAAAAGCAAGGTGTTGATAGCTAGCATATGGCATTATGGCATAGCATCCTATATATATATGATGTTTGTGAGGATCGGAAAGTGTGTTTGGATTAAGAGGTAGTCTCTTCATACTATCTGTCAGGCTTATTCTTGGATGCTTTCCAGACAAGACAGATAACCTTTTACATATGCATGTCCCCAGGGCCGTATTTTAAATTTTGGTGGCCTGTTCTGGTAAATAAATGTGGCCCTACCAAAATCACAATTTTTAAAATCAATACATGCAAGTTTCGAACCTTTGACCTCCAAGTTAAAATACAATAAATACACATTTTTACCATCTCTTCATAGAACCTTTTAAGTTTAATTGAAAACTCTTAATTTTTATTTCTAAACTAGCTAGGTAAAAATTAAATATTGGACCTATAAAATTTGGGGCCCCTCTAAAATTGGGGGCCCTGTGCGGTAGCCCAGCTTGCACAGCCTAAAATCCGGCCCTGCATGTCCCTTACTTTTATGCACTTTTCTCTGTTGTATTGTGCTTTGTGGCTGTTCTGAAATCTATGCATGTAAGCCATTCCCAGTAACAGTGCCAGAGTGTGAGTGTTGATGTGCCACAAAAGGCTTTCCAAGTGTTTTTTTTTTTTTTTTTCCTTTTCTCTTTTCAAAATCTTGTCTAAAGTTGATAGGGGTTGTTTGATTGGATATGATTGAGTGCATAAGCAAAAGAGAAGTGTCAAATATCTTATAATCTGATAACATCAGATCACAAATTCGAGTCTCATTCTAATTAAAGATGTTGGCATAATCATGTTGAGAAGATATTATAGTTAGGGCTAAATTATAGTGTAGTATAGTCACCAAAAAGAAAAAAAAAAGACAGAAGTTGCATACTTGAAGATTGAGTAAATACCCAAAATGGTCCTTCGACTATAGCTAAATTCACAAATTGGTTATTGGCTTTCAATTTCAAACAATTAAGTCCTTAACTTTATAATTTTAACACAATTTGGTCCTTTGTCTATTTAACCGTTTGTTGACTGTGATTTTTGAGGATATATATGTAATTTCATGGTCCATCATCGGTTTTTAAGGTTCCGGTTGCATTTCCGGACCGCACTATTACATTCGAATCCACTACCGAAAGCAATCTACCAAATCCGGTCGCATTTCTTCATCCTCCCTTTGGATTCAATGTAGTTGAGTTCGTACCATAGCGAAGAAGACGACGTGTTTCCGAACCAATGCAACGTCATCCTGGAGGCCTCCACGTGCTCCGACGAGAGCTGAAGGTTCTTCTGGAGATCGTCGATCACGGTCAACAAACGGTCAAATAGATGGAGGACCAAATCGTGTCAAAATTGTAAAGTTAAGGACTTAATTAGTTAAAATTGAAAGTTGAGGACCAATTTGTGAATTTAGCTATAGTGGAGGGATCATTTTAAGTATTTACTCTTGAAGATTGGGTGTTCATGAATCCGTCAAATTAGCTTATTGTCACCAACTCATCTCACTGATGACCCTTACATGAAGCCAAGCTTTGAATTGCTTGCTTATATGGGTTTCTTGGGACATAAAAATGCCAATATAATCATGAGTAGTTAACTATCCAATTCAATATTCCCTTGCATTATATTACTTAAGTAATTAGGTAAATTTTATAATGTTTACAAGTAATATATAGCAATAATGCCAATTATCGTAAATAAAGAGTTGTTACAACTTCTTTATAAATAAATGGGGTGTTTGGTAAATAGCTGTTAGCTGATTGTGTTAGTAAATTTGACTAGTTGATAGCATTAGTTTATTGTAGAAAGATGTTCGGTAAATTAGTTGTTAGCTGATAGCTGATTACATGCAAAATGACTTTTCCAAAAAACCGATCGAGAAAGCTGCTTTTGAGTAGCCTTTTGGAGCAATAAGTTGTTATAAAAAGCTAATTAGTCAAATATTTGTATTGGTTGTTTAACCAGGTCAAACAGTTAATAATGATTAAATAAGCTAAAATTACCTCATAAGCTAATTGTGTTACCAAACATGGCCAAAATAAAAATTTTAATTTATCACAACATTTTTTATTTATAAAAAATCACATTATATTCTTATTTGTTTAGTATTATTATTTCAAAAGGCTGAACTCCAACCCTAAGGGCCCCCAACACCCCGGCCCGACAGAGTATTTGTTTAGTATTATAGATTTATAGACTGTTATGGGTAATCATCTTTCTAAGTTTTTTTTTTTTTTTTTTCCTTGTGTTGTGCAATGCAAAACTCTCCCTGCTATCTATAGAGAGTAGAGACAACCTTAATTACATTAATTTTTAATTAAAAAAGTATTAGTAAGCATATTTTCTAAATGAAACCTCCAACTAAAAATAGACACATCATTAAAAAGTTTTTTAAAAAAATTAAACATTATTATTGCAAAATTCTCTTTACACGAACTCATAAATATATATTAGCACACTATAAACCAAGCAAACACAATATAATGAACTGGTGAACAAGCGAAGCAGCCAAATCACTCTTTACAATAGTAAAATTGGAAACCCAATTTTTTTATGAAGTAAACTAGTAAAGTATATATGTGTGTATATAACAGTATATCACTCACTCCATCACTCATCATTTGTGGGGAAATTTTTATTTTTAAGCCTCAAAACCATGAAATTAGACAGCCAAAAAAATTATATAGCAATATGAATATGATGACTATAACAATCTGATCAAGCAAGGAGATTTTATTCTGTGCAACGTCGTCATCACTGTTACGTGAAGTTGAAGAAGAAGAAGAAGAAGAAGAAGAGTAGTTGAGTTCAATGGATAACGAGACTGAGTTTCCATGGAGATTCACTGTAAGTGAATTGGTTATCTGGAGGTCTTCGCCAATGGCGACAATCACTGTATCGGCGGTCGTCGTCCTAAACGACGACGCTTTTGCTTTGACGTAAAATTCAGTTGGCTGAAGAGGAAGAAGCAGGCTGAAACCATATTTGAATAATGGATAATGATCATCACTTTGGTCGTCAATGATACTAGCAGATTGTTGAGTGTTATAATTAGTAGTGGATCCATAAATGCACAGTTTTGTTTCGTCGGATTTTGTTTTTGTCGCAGGTTGTCCACTCCTACTTCCTAGGACCACTGGGCTTAATTCTTGTGCCATTTCTTTTAGCTTAGTGCCAACATTCTCCATTTCTTGGCTGCAATAAATTAATAAATCACAATTAATTCAACCAAACTTCTTTTTTCTTGTTTTAGTGACAAGAGAAACATGTAGCCACGGTAAATCACGTCATTTGACCATAGCTAGCAAAAGACCAGATAAATCAGCTTAAGTTACACCAAGAATACTAGATAAAATGTGTACCTTAAAATCTGCAAAATTTCCTGATTATGGGCAGTATATTTGCCTTTCTCCAGCGTCAACTTCTTGTCTGAAATGGACCAAACATACTTCTCATTATAGCCGCGACGCCGCCAATCGTTATGATCCGGTGATAACAACGCAAAAGTCCATTGATTATCAATCAAGATTGACCTCAGCTCCCCGGTACTGAATCCCCCATGATCAGTGACTAGAAACACTCCATCATCTGAGATCGATTTCGAAATCTTTTCAATAGCTTGACTGTCACGAAACTTGAGCGATTCATAATCGATTTCAGCAGGTACCCAACGTTGTGCATTTTGAGGGAGACTCAGTTCCGGCACTATCTGTGTTTGGTCTATGTATTCAGACAAGACAGAATCGACGGCCGACCGAGAGCCTTTTCCGGTCGGAATCGGAGAAGGTGGTGGCAGCGGGTGATTGTTCGTACCCATCATTAATTGTTTGGTAAGATATCAGAAATGGGAAAGAGGAAAGTTTTCATCTTTTTTAGGTGTTTGAAAAAGAAACTTCAAAGTTCATGGGGCCATTGTACGTCCAGAAAATTATAGTAGTAGTAGGCACGTCTTCAATCATCATCATTACTTGCATGCATTACTGCCCAGTAAGAAATAGAAGCTTACAATATAAGCATTTTTTTTCTTTTGTTCTCTTAAATTTTTGTAATCACTTTTTCAATTTATTTAATGACCAGAAAAACTCACAATCACTATCCGAGAATATGCACGGGTTAAACTCACCTTATATATAACCCTAACTGACAAAGAATCACAACAAGGTAAACCAGCCTAAATTGTCCATAAAAGGTCAATAAACCGCTCCCGTGAAATTGACCTTGTAACTGACTTCCTTATAATCACTTGAATATAGAATGGGAGAATGTGGGTACTGATTAATATTGATTCTCTTCTACATGAAGTATTTATACAAGACAATCAACAAAAACAGCATACAAACTGTGTGATCAGTACTGAACTAATCTGAGAATGGAGATTACCAAAACCTCCCTGGGACAACTCAACAGAAAACATCTGAACTGTGAGTGCCAGTTCATGCTCTCCTAGCTACACTTGACAACGGAGAAACCAAAACCTCAGTTAAAAAGTCGACAAATTAACATCCTATACAGTGGCAACTTACATGATGACTGATCATGTTGAAGTGCTGGTAAAAGATACTTGATTAGTACAATGTACAAGGCACTCAAATGAGATTACAATCCAGGCAGGAGCTAAACACCGCTTCCTTGTGGTAGTGTGTTTCTGAGATCGTACTCAGAAAGATAATGGAGGGAAGTCTTCTTCGTCTTTAAGATGGTATGCAGACTTAACTGGAGCCCTTTATGTCCAAAACAGAAGTGCGTTAGAATTAGCTCGGATTCAAGATTTCCGTCTAAAAGAAAAAAATGCACAACATGATAGGCTTTCATATATACTGGGAAGGATAGATGTATATGCTCTAGGAGCTTCATGCAGCCATGATAAATTTATAGAGAAAAGATCAGAGATATCTCGTACCTGTCAGGGTCCCTACTAAAATATGGTTTTGGTTGCTGCAATCCCAGTGATGGTGAGGCTGGATTTGAATGTTGAGCAGGCAAAGGTAAGTGCTTTTGTTGCCTGCTTCGTTCTGATGATGGTGACAGTGGTGTAACATGACCAACTGTGCCAAATTCAATGACCGCCTCTGGATGAGAGGCTACACCATTTGTGTTATGATACTCCTTGCCATGAGGGGAATATGGCTGGTGGATTTCACTACGATCAACACCTGATTGTGATTGTGGTAGATCATGCCAGTTTCTCTCAAGTGTTTGTGTTTCCATGAACATTCCTCCATTCCAGCTGTTGGCCCGGTGATACCTCACTGGTGCTTGATTCCTTCCTTTCACAGCTGAAGGCCTATAACCTTGTGGCCGTCGACTCTGCAAAATTAAAAGCAACTATACTCAAACAATAGTTATCTTCCAAAACTCGCAATAATTATCTTCATGTAGCCAAGTGATCCTATGCTATAGCGTATGTATGTACCATGTTTGGGAAGTATGTTCCTGTTCCCCTTGGTTTCTGCATCTCACCAAAAGCAATGTTGGGTGCTAACATGGGCCGGTTTAAAGTATAGAATGCTTGGTTTGGAACAACACCATTAGTACCACCATAAGAAAAACCGTTCCTTTTGAACTTTGGCGGCTGTTGCGAATTCCATGAGTACTTGAATTGAAATGGATTCAACGGTGGAGGAGAAATTGGCATAGCTGGGACAGTTGAATTATTTTCATAACACCACCGACCATATTGCAAGCAACTTAAGTAATAGTCATAGTCACCACTAAGTTCCAACAAAGCATTCACAGGTTGCAGACTTCCACCGCCAATAGCTGAAGGGTGGTCCAGATTTAGTTGATGTGAACCATCAGAGCAAGCAAGTACTTTAAGCGCCAAATGATCATCTTTTATTGCAACAGGAACAAAATCTTCATCTTTATCATTGGAATGGTTCTGTTCCAAACACTTATCTTCACATGTATCCAACTTCTTCTCCAAGTTTCCCTTTTTCATCTCTCCATTGCATGCCGAGTGGGAGCTAGCAAATTTGGGTGAATCATTAGATAATTTAAGGCCTTGCGTTATTGAACTAGCTAGTTCCGTAGCATCTCCACGAAGACGATGAACCAATGCATTCCCTTTTCCAGGGCCAACACTGTCTGATTGCTGCTTATATTGACATCCATCCATAGCTCCTTCTTGATCTCTGTCTTCTCTGTCAGATGATCCATAAGGATCAAATGTACAATCTCCGTGTGTATCAGTGGGACTACCAGATTCCGTTCTTGAATTGACCTCAAATTGAGATGAATCAATCTCTGAAACAGGAAGTGCATGATAGAAACTATTGCAGCTAACTACTGGACTAAGATCTTGAACATCAGGCCTCTGTCCACTTCCATGTCGACCCAAAGTGTTGGCAAAAAAATTATGAAGCTCGTCAACAATCTTATCGTCTGACTGCATAAGTATTATCTTGAGCTTCTTAGCACCATATGTGAAAGCACTCCGTATCCTAAAGAAATTTCCTGCACAAAGCAATCCAAGATGGAAATCAACACGGGCTTTGGGACACTAATTTGAGTTTAACAGTTTTGTTAGGACGATGTCATAATTATCAGGTTATAAGTTTAAGACTTAGGGTTCACTAAATCACACTTATGCATGCATTGCATTCCTCGGTATCAGCATGAAATTTATCATGATCTTCTCTAAGTCACATGTAACTTCACAAACAGTTTCAGGATTCCTTGTAGTCAGTGTATAGCTTTTCTAGATAAATACAACATGAGTGAGCTAATGTGCAAAACTCATAGTATTCAAAAGTTATATACACCAGAACTTGATAGTTTCAGTTCATTCACACTACACGATGAAAAAATCTTCAGAAAGAAGTCAAAGCTTCAACATGCAATAATATTTTATATAAGGGAGAACAAACAGGACAAAAACCATGGAATAATAATAATAATCAGTGAATAAAAAATACAAATTGTATTACCTTTGCTGACACTACGGCCAAGGTTATTATTTTCCTTCAGAGGATCAACTATGTTAAGATGCTTTTGTTGAAAGGTTCTGGAGTTCATGTCATACCCTCTTGAAGAAACAGAAAACATTTTGACACAATATCTAAGAAAATCATTGTTGAGCAGTAACTCACCACCATCATTTTCAGGAACCTCAGCTGCAAAAGAAACAGGAAATCACATTGATGAAATCAAGCAAAGAAACATATAATGACAGACCACAGTTAGCAAGAAGTTGCTTACCCACAATTTCTGGCAAAGATGATATGCGAACAGGACCAGCTAAACAAATACAATATTTTTCCCAGTCAAACTTGCTAAAGTAGTCCAAAAATTTGTAGAGGACCTAAAAATTTAGCAGTTTCAATCATTAGAGTTTTCAAATGTGAATAAGAATGCTGGATATGAACATTCAGTGTGAGGTTTGGACGTTTGGTTTCAGGAAGTTTAATAATTCAGCAGTTTCAACTATTATAATCAGCTCACTCAGGTCATTGGGTATAAAATAAAACCATAACTAATAACCACAAAGTAATGTGAGCTTTGGTTTCCACAGATCAGTAGATCACAAGGTTTGGCTTGGTACAACACTTTGTCTAACTTAGTATAATGTTTGCAGGTACAAAAACAAACTACAAAGAAATACTCCGTAATAAAATACAAAACAAAACAAAATTAACACAAAATAAAGTTTTAAAATTAAACAAGTAAAATCACATTCATGTGTATGTATACATTACAAACAGGTGTATCTCTGTATTATTGATTCATAACTGGGTATAGATATATTTAACAGGTGGTTCAATTTTTACAATAGCGAATTGTTAAACCATAATAATCAGCTCTATGTCTTTCAGGTTTTTTGAACTAGACGAAATACTGATCGTTTTGCAGGGGGTTTGAGTGGTATGGGTGTTTTCTTGGAACAACCATGAATTGTCAAACAGTAAATCCAGGGAAACTTACTGCTAAAGGACCATCCAACGTGGAGTGATATAGATGAAAGATATATAAAACCAGAGTCTCCAAAGCATAAGTTGATATCAAGCCATGATGAGCACCAAGGATTCGACTCTCATAATAGCACCAGGCTTTAATTAAAATAATACTGCGTTTAAATAGATGATCTTTGCCAATGAGTTGATCAACCTGTAAAACAAGCAGAGTTGTGAATGAGAAATGCAATACTGCTTTAGACAGCTCTCCCCTCAACAACCATGGTGCCTCCACAACAATAAAAGGACAGAAGAAATATTTTGCTTATGAAGTTATATGTGCAAGATGAGTGCGCAGCTTTCAACCATTTGTTAGTAGTTAAAATTAAAATGAAGTTCAATTAGTGTACCTGTTCAAGAAAGCACAAGGTACAGAGACCACCTATTTGATTAAAAGAGATGTCAACAACAATATTTTGTACAATACACTTCACAAGCTTGACCTGTGCAATAAGAAATCCAAACATCAGGAGATAATTTTTGAATTTAAGATTTAAAAAATAAAAGAAGCTGAACTGTAAGCTATAGGAGCAAGCAATCACATATTCAAACCCAGAATACACCAAGAAAGTTCAATATAGTATATACCCTATTAAGTTAATAAAAAATAAACTGCTTCACTACAATTTGTGTAGGTTGGTAATAAATGAATCATATAGATCATAATCACTTTTTTTGCTTCCCATTTCTTGCAGTCTCACTACAGAAACTAACCTTAAAATTGGCATTAACAACATATGATTCTGCAAAGTAATTTGCCAACAGGAAGTCCACTTGCAACTAGAGTAGACTAGAGCTACACTTAAAGTAACAGACCAAAGTAGAATCAGATGCAGTTATGGTTCCAGTAGCTAGCAAGTTACTGCAGGCTCTCCACCATTCACAAATTTCTAAAACAATTTTTCCTTATTCATACAATATAAAAAATATATATATTATTAAAATACTAAAGAAGGCATTAACATGATTAACTAGATATCAGATATAATTTAAAGGAGATTCAGCAAGGACCTCACGTGCATAACCCACAATAAGCACACTTCATTGAACAAACTTTAATTATATACCAACAGAGAGATATCAAGACCTCAGCACGAATGAGCTGGACATCCTTTACAGTGAATTCTGCAGCCATATTTTGATCCTCTCCTTCAAGAACAGATACCAAATCATTGACCAAAGCATCCTCCACCATCGGACAGCCAAATGCAGTCAAATCAATGTCACCATCAGGAAGATAAGTCTTTAGTGGTA